CCGCATGCTGGCTCTTACGGAACCGACTAACTCCCCTTGTGTGTATGTACAGCTCTCAACATGCCCAGACTTGTAGTGATTTTCAACTGTTTTAATACTTTCCGCCTCATTCTGAAAGAAAGAATTGAAATGTGACGGCCGTATGTGGTGTGAGACGGGAGATGTAGTTCATTGATTGGTTTCACACAAAAAAAAGTGTTACTTCACTTCTTTTTTTTTTGACTTGCAAAATAATCTTTTAAATTGACAAACATCATCTGTGTAATTCGTGGCACATTTCAAACGGGATGGAAAAATAATCTTTCTCTCTCCATTGGCTTCAATACATACTTTTTCCTAAATAAGGTCCCATGGAGGAAAGGGAGGGACTTCGCCTCTCATCACGAACGTCTTGTCTTTCTTTGTTGTTAAATCCTACATTTTAAAACATTGAATTGTTGTTAATGTGTATATATCCTGAATGAGATGTCTCTTCTGTTGCACATTGATCCTGAATTAAAAACATGTTTTTTTTTTTCTTCGCGTGTTCCCCAGCGGTTCTTCGAGAACCTGAACCCGATGAACAACCGGAGTGAGAAGGAGTTTGCAGACTACTTGTTCAAAATGTCTCTGGATATTGAGCCACGGCACTGCAGGCAGGCTCCTCGATTCGTAAGTGTTTCACTCCTGTGCTCTGTGTTCGTCCCAAATGCTCGACATGCAGACATTGTGTTTAGCTGAGTCCGGTTTTTAGAGCAATATAACACAGTGTCTTTCATAACTTACATATTCTCCAAAACTGCACTTTCGTGTCAAAACTGTTATGATCCCCATTTGTTTTAATTTATTTTATGCATATATTTCATCTAAATCGTATCTTGTTTTTATTATTAATATCAAGTGTGTTTTATTTTTCATTTTATTTTACATTAAGTTGGCATTTTATTCCTGTTTTTATGTTTTTTTTCTTTTGTCTATTTTCCCTTATTGTAAAGCATTTTCTTCTGCATTACCTGTAAGTTTATTATTATTATTCAGTATGTTATATTTTTCATCACGTACGTACATCCATCCACATTATGTATAGAGTGCTTTTAGAGGACATCTTCTTTTATCAAATTTTAATTTTGTATTATTTTTTTTCATCTTAATTTGATATTTTTCTCTTTTTATATTTATCTTAGTTTTTCGATTTTTACATACATTTTTTAAATTTTTTTTATTATTATACTTTTTTCCATTCATTGTGGCATTAAATCCCTGTTTTGTATCTATTCTCCCATATTTATATCACTGTGTATCATTTGCCGTATTATATTATTTTCCAATAACCGGTCATTTATCCCTGTTGTTGTTGTTGTTGTTGTTGTTTCCCCTTCTTGTTGTCAGTTAATTGTAAAGAGATAATGTATTGTGTTGATGTGTTGTGCTGCAGCCCAGGAAGACGCTGTACAACCTGAAGTCCCCGGGGATCCGGCCTGTCCGAACCTCTACCTCTGGGACCCTGAAGGGCCACCCGGTGCCCCTGGAGAGGGAGCCGCCCCACAAGATCACCTTCCGGAGCATCGCGGAGACGGAGCCCGAGTCCCCGGCGTCCGTGCCCACCTCCCCCAACACGCCCACCCCCCCGCAGTCCGCCCCCTCCGACCTCAGCTCCGTGTTCATGGAGCACGACCTCTGCAGCTCGTACGGAGGTGAGGGCCGCACTATGTTACATCTTAAAGGTCACCTATTATGCAAAAATCCACTTCCTCATGTCTCTTCTATATCAACATGTGTCCCCTCTTCTTCATGTCTCTTCTACATCAACATGTGTCCCCACTTCTTCATGTCTTTTCTACATCAACATGTGTCCCCTCTTCTCCATGTCTCTTCTACATCAACATGTGTCCCCTCTTCTCCATGTCTCTTCTACATCAAAATGTGTCCCCTCTTCTTCATGTCTCTTCTACATCAACATATGCCCCCTCTTCTTCATGTCTCTTCTACATCAGCATGTGTCCCCTCTTCTTCATGTCTTTTCTACATCAACATGTGTCCCCTCTTCTCCATGTCTCTTCTACATCAACATGTGTCCCCTCTTCTTCATGTCTCTTCTACATCAACATGTGTCCCCTCTTCTTCATGTCTCTTCTACATCAACATGTGTCCCCTCTTCTTCATGTCTCTTCTACATCAACATGTGTCCCCTCTTCTTCATGTCTCTTCTACATCAACATGTGTCCCCTCTTCTTCATGTCTCTTCTACATCAACATGTGTCCCCTCTTCTCCATGTCTCTTCTACATCAACATGTGTCCCCTCTTCTTCATGTCTCTTCTACATCAACATGTGTCCCCTCTTCTTCATGTCTCTTCTACATCAACATGTGTCCCCTCTTCTCCATGTCTCTTCTACATCAACATGTGTCCCCTCTTCATCATGTCTCTTCTACATCAACATGTGTCCCCTCTGTGGAAAGAGACTCTGAAAGTTTCAGGAACAAAGATTCTCTCTCTTTTTGATCCATTTCTATAAAAACCTGTCTGAAAATGAGCTGATCAGATTTTGGACACTTTATGATGTCATAACGATGTTTTGGTGGTCTTGAGGGAAACTTGGAGTTACGTTCCTTAAGTATTTACAATCTTTTCTTTTAGTTTTCTTTGTACATTCAACAAAGAACATTGCACATGTTTACTTGTGGCTTCTCTCAGCTTTGAACAAAGGTAGAGAACATAAAGAAAATAATATATTGAAAACGATATAAACATCAAACTGAAATTCAGCAGCCGTGGTTACAAGTTGCATAAATATTTAGTCTCTTTACATTCAAAGTTTATTTACCCTTTTATTTGACGAGGGGAAAACGTTTTACTGTGCTACATTAATGTCACACTAGATTTAAAACGGGCCCTGCTTTTATTCTGAAAGGTAAGAGCATGCACTTTTATTTTGAAATCAATCCTCTTCTCCCTCTTCAAATTTTACAGGAAATAACTCCATTTTTGCTCCTGTGCTTCTGCCGCCTTCAAGTGAGTGTTGGCTTTTCCCTTTACAATTAAATTGTTTCTCCAAGATGTTTTCTGTCCCCATTTCAAGTCTTTCTACGTACCAACATTATATATTTAATCTATTTTGTCAGATTTTAATTTCCGTCCTATATTATACATATAATTCATCTTAATGTTATATTTTATTATTTGTATTATTCACTTCATATGCACATAATTCGTCTTATGGGTATCTTTTTTTATATACATCCAAATTGTATCTTGTGTTTTTATTTATCTAATTTGACTAGAAGTACAAAATGTGTCTTATTTTCCATTAATTTCCATGTTTTTTATGTTCACTCTGTCTGTTTTCTTGCTGTCTGGTGGATGAGTCTCCCTAAAGCCGCATTTCGACTACAGGTTTTAGCGCGGCTCGTGACGGCTCGGCTCACTTTAAGCTGCGTTGCCATTACAGTAACAGGCTGTCCACGGGGTCTTAAAAAGTATTAAAAGTTGATAAATCAATTTAGCGAAAATGAAGGCTATTAAAAAGTATTAAACGGCATTTTCCAAGATATTACATTTTGTATCTTGTTTTCAATAAGTATCTAAATGGTCCAAAGAGGTTGTATTCTACAGTCTGCCTGAATGTAATCATTGCGTAGGTGTGTAGTGTGATTCTGTGTAGTTTATTTATGGCATCCCGTTGGATTTGACGTCATCTGAACAGGACATCGCACGCTCACTGCTTGATAGCGCGAAGCTCCGTTTACGCCGGTTGCTGAACAACATCGTTATGGGGAAATGCAAGTCTGCGTCCAAATGGTTGGAAGATAAGGAGGAAGGACAATCAATACTGTATATAGTCAATGTGAGGTAAAGTGTGTCGCCAAGGTAACCGGTTAGAACTCTAAGTGGCGATGAGGTCTTAAAATGTATGGAAAGGGTCTTAAAAAAGGTCTTACATTTAAATTTAGGATTCCTACATAGACCCTGTATGATTGTCATGTTCTTATATGTTGTATGTTAAGGTTGTGGTATTTCAACCTAAGGAACAATTATGATGCACTACGTTTTATATAATAATAATAATTCATTCTCTTTGGAGGCGCCTTTCAAAGCGTCCAAGGGAACACCTTACAATTCATAAAATATTCTAAGGAAAGGTTTAAGACTGTCACACATACATGTATAACATACACATTTATAGACTTGGCATTTCAACTTTTACTTAAGAAATATTTAGGTGACAGGACTTCTTATTTGTCTGTGGTATCTCTACAGGTCTGCGTACCTCTTCGTCTCCTCTCCGTCCCACAGGCCTGATTCATTTAGTTGAACAGACGTGTATATGTTTCAACTTTTTAAAGAACATCCATAACATTCATGTGTTTGCAACTTTAAACTATCTAAAATATCATATTCCAATTACTTGTATATAAGGGGCGGGGCTATGAGTGTACTGATGACAAGAGATGGGTCTTGAGGCGGGACTGGAACAGGGTGAGGGACTCAGAGTCACGGATGTCTTGGGGGGGGGGGGGGAGTTCCTATAGACGAGGAGCCTGTGACCTCAGATGTTCATTGTCATATCTACACTGTAGCTGCCGAACACATGACAGTGAGAGCCTTGAATCTTGATCCCTGCTTTACTCCCTGTTTTCAGAGAGAGATCATGGCAGAGCACCAGAGGCAGCGCTCGCTCTCCACCGCCGGGGAGACTCTGTACCTCGTGCTGGGGGTGGAGAAGGTGGCGACCCCCGACGACATCAAGAGGTCCTACAGGTGAGGCATACCTACAAGTGGAGTACGATATGCACCCAGGAAATGAGAATAACTAAGAAAGGAAACTCACTTTTGAGAAAGGATGCCCGTTGTAAAACCCCCCGTGCTCTGACTGAGCTTTAGGCAGAGGTGGGAAGGAGTGGAAGGAGTTTGATGACGTCAAACTGTAATATTAGTCTACCTAGTTTCAAAGTTGAGTGTCTTTGGGATTGAATAACATATATGATCCAATATGCAGCCAGGAAATGAGAATAACTAAGAGAGAGGACGCCCACAGTGTCACCGTGTCAAACATGCACTGACTAAGCTTTATTTGTATCATGATGCCGTCTGTAGTTATGTCCAACTGTAATATTAGTCTACTTAGTTTGAATGTACATGTCCCCTCTGTGGGACTAATACAGGGATTCTGATTCTGATTGAAAGTAGAGTGTCTTTGGGATTGAATAACATATATGATCCAATCCAGGAAATGAGAATAAAGAAAACTCACTTTTGAGAGAGGATGCCTTTTTTTTTAAAAAAAACATACTCTGACTAAGATTTACTCTGAGGTGGGAAGTAAAGGAGTACAAATACTTTGTTACTATACTTAAGTACATCTTTCTGGTATCAGTACTTTACTCCACTACTTATTTTTCTGACGACTTTCTACTTCTTACATGTTGAACTCAAATACCTGTACTTTCTACTTCTTTACATGTTGAACTCAAATACCTGTACTTTCTACTTCTTACATGTTGAACACAAATACCTGTACTTTCTACTTCTTACATGTTGAACTCAAATACCTGTACTTTATACTTCTTACATGTTGAACACAAATACCTGTACTTTCTACTTCTTACATGTTGAACACAAATACCTGTACTTTCTACTTCTTACATGTTGAACACAAATACCTGTACTTTCTACTTCTTACATGTTGAACACAAATACCTGTACTTTCTACTTCTTACATGTTGAACTCAAATACCTGTACTTTCTACTTCTTACATGTTGAACTCAAATACCTGTACTTTCTACTTCTTACATGTTGAACAACAAAATTACCGTGTA